GGTTTGCTCGATAATTAAACTCTTGTGTGGGCTACTAGCGATATGCTGAGTCAGTATTATTTTTCCAAGGGGCCAGCCAATATACATCATTCCCAACTACGCCTAAAACAGCTTGCCCATCCTCCCAACCTCAAAAATCAATTTACAAGGCGCAATACATTATATATATATATATATATATTATATATATACATATATATATGTCTGCAACATCACGTACATGCATTTTATAACATGTTATCTATTGCAGATGATTAACCAATATATATATATATATATTGGTTAATCATCTGCAATAGATAACATGTTATAAAATGCATGTACGTGATGTTGCAGATTGTTTTTAGTGGACTTGTTTTGCTTTGATTTTTTTCCCGTTTTTAAAAAAAAATGTATATATATTTTTTTTAGTAGCGCGTGACCTGTCTATGGAATCTGACATAGCCAGCTGATACGTGTAAAGGAAACATGCAGTAGCTTTTCCCCCGGACCAAAGTATCCAAAAACAAATCTTTAGTTCCGGTATCCTGGCCCCGGACCATCACAGGAGGGCGGAAATGTCACACACCAAAGGTACGGAATTCGCGTGTGTTTGTGCAAGACGTTTCAGTTTGAGCAAGACTTCTGGTTGCGTACGTAAGCGATATTCCGAAAAAAACGACAATAACGATAGGGACATATTATAGATATATAATAAACAATATGATGCATGTTGTACATATATTATGCACAGTTAATTATATCTGTTAGTGACACGCAAAGTCACACGCGAATTTATCCGTACTCACGCACGGACGCACACCAACGCACACGCACACGCACACGCACACACACACAAACGCGCGCGGAGTAACACAGGCAGACAAAAATAAACGCAGAAATATAAATCGCAGTAAGTAAGCTTATATGTAAAAAAGAAGAAAGTGAATCAGAGACAGCGACAGTGGAGGAAAGAAAGCGAGTGTTACGGGCGGCAAAGATAAGTGCTTCACAACAGAGGAGTGCATTGGTGTACCAGAGAGGGTTTACAGCAACCACCCCCGTCCCTTTTTATTCCTTCCTAC